GAGAGAGAGAGAGAGAGAAAGAAAGAAAGAAAGAAAGAAAGAAAGAAAGAAAGAAAGAAAGAAAGAAAGAAAGAAAGAAAGAAAGAAAGAAAGAAAGAATCCTCCCCCAACAATTGGCATTTTGAGACAAGGTCTTCCTTTCTTGCTCAGTCTGACCTGGAATTCACTATGTAGCTCAGGCTGGCCCAGAACCTATAGCAGTCTTCCTGCCTCAGCCTTCTGGGTCCTAGAGTTATCCAGGTTTAGTGGCTGTCTTTTAATTTATTTACTTTTGTACAGAACTACTTTGTATTGAGACTTGTCTAAACTGACTAGTGGTGTTGCCCTGGGCTGTCGATGGTGGAATCAAGTGTGTGCAGGAGAAATGAGCCGCTCTCCACCAGTAACAGAAACTGGCAGCAGCAGAACAGGGGGGGGGGGGTCGTTGGCAGCAGCTGCCCTCCTGCAGGCTGCTCTGTCTGCAGACACCGCAGGATGATGAGGTTCTGCTGCCCCACAGAGGACAACCTCATTTCTCTTCTTGGTGTTGCCTGACTTGCTCAAGAACTAACCTGTAAGGAAGCTTGACCAATTTTGACATCCTTTGTAGATACTTTAAAAGTACCCCCAAACTGTCTGAGACAGTCCATTTTTCTTTGCTAAAATGTACTGATTAAACCCCACAATAATCATCAGCCGATGCACAGTTTACTTGGTACATTTCACAGTTGAGTACTCAGTCACTCGTGAGTCTTTGCAGGATCTCTGTTCAGGCCTGTTGAGGAATACGGACTCCTACTTGATTTAGGATGAGATTCTGTTTTTCACTCCCATTGAGTAAATCTATTGGGCCTCTCTTCTGATCTTCAACATTAAAAACTAAAAATGAAAAACAATATTCCAATATTAAGCACTTAGGGGAAACAGCTTGGGCAAGTCTCGCTTCATGTCAGTTTCTAGAATTTTCATAAAGAGAATTCACATCCATTAATACTGTAGCTTAGAACTGTGTTCCCATCAAGCGAGCAAAAGAAACGTGTGTGCAGCTAACAGTGCCACAAAACAAAGCTGAAAGCCCTGAAAACGCCAGCATTGTTGAGTGGTGACGTAGTACAGCCTGTGCTGCATGACCTTCTCCAGAGGGTGGCAACAATAGCACACACTCCTCCCCAGAGCCACCTGCCTGCAGCCTCTGGTGAAGACTGCTACACAGAAGCCCACTCTAAGAGCTGAGGTCTAGGCTTCCATCCTGGGTATTGACTGTACTTTGTCACAAGACTGAAAGCCAATGCAACTCTCATGTTTAATCTGTGCAGTGTTGAGACTACAGAGTTGAAGCTAATGTCTTTTTCACCTTATCTCCCTGGGGCAAGCAAGGTCTTAAGCTGTTCATTTTATCCTTTTGCTTTGCACCTCACTCTGCTGAGAGCCTTGCACAAGATCAGAGTGCTCCACACACCCAGAGTAAAGGACTAAACATCACAGGTTTTCACTGCAGGCCAAACATGTAGCAGGATACTCAAATGCAGTACTGCTAACAGAAGACTTAATTCAGGGCAGTCACTATGTACACAAAAGATGGAGATGCCTTGAATTTGCTTAGCATTTCTCCTGTTAATGCATTATTCCTATGCCTCAAAAACCATTACCTATATAGTACATTAATATAATTTAAAAATCAAACTGGGGCTTCTTTTTCTAGAAATTTCAAATAACTACCTTGTTGAAACAGGTGACATGCTGGATAAACACTGTAGAATCAGACATCCAGATTGAAGGACTTGTCACCCAGATTAGGTCAGTACACTTGGAAAAACGATGATCCAAGAGTATTCGAGTGAGATGGGCATGGTGGCACACACTTTTATTCTCAGCACTCACTTGGGAGTCAGGGGCAGGTGAAGGCAATCTCCCAGTTGAGGCTAGCCTGGTCTACAGAGTGAATTCCAGTACACCCAGGGCTATACACAGAAACCTTACCTTGAAAAAACGAAACAGTACTTGAGTGATAAATAAGTTACAGACATAAAACAGGCAGGACATTAACTGTGGAGCATGTAGGAGCCTAAAGGACATCAGTTGGACAGATACTATATTTGAACAAATATATGTATTAGATAGTATGCTATATCAACATTTCTTCATGTGCACAATTGGACTATGATTACTTAAGAGTTTATACATTTGGGGAATATGGAGAGAAGATGTATGGGAATACTTTTTGCTACTTTTTAATTTAAATTTAATAAAGATTTTATTTGTAATTACATGTCTGTGCAGATAGGTGTGTATAAATACAGGACCCTTGGAAGCCAGAGGAAAAACCCCTGGAGCTGGAGTTACAGGCAGTTGTGAGCCACCTTATGTGAATACTGGGAAATGAATTTGGGTCTTTTGAATACTGAGCCATCTCTCCAGTATTGAATTTTTTAAAACCATCAAACATCAAGAATTGTTCATGTGGTAATAAAAGAGGGCATCTTTGAGTCCAAAAGTGAGGTGGGAGTAATATGATCAGGTAATAATTAAGAAGCAAGCTGGCCAGAGGATTTCTGGTGAAGCCTAAAGATCCTGGACTTCTCCCTCCGTTTCCAAAGGTGTGAACTAAGCCTGAAATCTTAAATCTCCAGATCCCACATGATGGAAGAAGAGAACTGACTCTTAAAGCTGACCTTTGACCTCCATACATGCACAATGGCATACATGTGCTTACACAAATAAGTGTGATTTAAAAGCCCAAAAACAACTACAAAAAATACCTCAGGTTCTACCCAGGGAGTCAAGCACGTAAAACGGAAATCCAAAGCCCCTGTTCCTGGTTCAAAGATTATCAGGGATAAACTTTAGTGCAAGTGGGACAGCAAGACGGCACAGAGAGCATCTAACCATGGGACGCTGCACACTTACAACTTAGTGTTTTATGTTATCAAAAGAACTGAAGACTGCCTCAAGGAGTTAGGCACTGTGTGGCTCCCACATTTCACCTGGAAGACGACTCACGGGGTGGCCTGTACTCCCTCGCATGCCCCATGGCTAAGGTTCAAGAAGACTAGTGCTCAGCTGCAGCATATAAGATGCAAAGAATCTAGGAACTACAGAAAACTCCTGGGTTAAAGAACAGATGGCACAAAATCTGCAAATAAAAATGTAAACTGGGTGAAGACTGAATATGCTATTTGCAGCCCAGAAAGGCAAAGATAGAAAATACTTTGTAGAGCCAGAGCAGAGTGCTGCTGATCTGTGCTCAAGGAGCCAGAAGGGACAGGAGCCTTGTCAGATACATGCTTCCTCACCCTCTCTAGAGGGCGAGTCACAGCAGAAAACTGCTTCAGAGGGGACCAACAGAAACCAGGTGTGCTCTGGGGTGCCCTAGCCATCTTGTTGGAAAAGCCCTAAATCACTAAAAGCAAACCCTGATTTCTGGGGCATCCCTGCTCTCACCCTGCTCCACTGCCCCACTTAACAGAACTTCTAAAGAAAACAGTCTCTCCAGACATGATGGTACACACTTTCAATTCCTGCACTCAGGAGGCAGAGGCAGGTGGATCTCTGTGAGTTTGAGGCCAGCCTGGTCTACACAGTGAGTTCAAGACCACCAAGGCTGTTACACAGAAAAACCCTGTTTCAAAAAACAAAAAGGGGGAGGGGGAAAGTCTCCCTGAACTGACCACTAGGTGTTATTATCAATAATATTAAAGAAAAGATGGAAGGTTGGGAGGTGGCCACTTCCATACACCGCTGTTCTTACCATTGATATCTCTGTCGTTCCCTGCAAGGACTGCCTGCTTGTCTCTCTCAGACTCGGCTTCATTTTCATCCATGCTGTATTCATCTCCCTGGTTTCTCCCTGTAAAAACCATTTCATTGAAATCACTGGAATACCAGCACCAGTACAGGCTGTTGTCAGACCCATTCCTCAGAAAACAGCCCAACTCATGAACTTCTTCCCAGTACTAATGCCACGGAGAGTACTCAGAAACAGGCCCTTCAACACTGAGTCTAGAAAATTCAACTCTGGTGACTGAATCCTAGAACACAAAAAGGGAGGGGGGGCTTCATTCCTAACACAAAAAAATGGGGGGAGGAATCCTAAATTAAGTCATGATTCAGTCAAAAAACTGAGAAACGAAATGGCAAGCAACAAAAGTAAGGAAAAGCAACCACTGTCTGAGGAAGTAATAGGTTAATGATGGGAAATGACAGTGGCTTCTCAGAACAACTCCAAAACGGGAAGGAGTGAGTACCGTGAGCCTACATTTCATGTACAGGACTAGACTGTCCACGACTATGTGCCCTGGAAAAAGCACAGAATGCAGACTAGAGACAACAGGAGTCTCCCTGGTATCTGAAATGTGTACATGGGGAGGCACAGGAGACCCCGTTCTTAAAAGAAATGCCTAGATCTCTGCTCTGCTTTCTCCTCCAAATGAGATCGCTACTGCTGCACATGGAAGCAGCTGCTGCACACAGGCCTGGTCACTCACGTCCACCTTTAGCTGTGCACTTCAGGTCCAGTAGTCAGACACTTCGGTGCCACCAGAATGGGGTGTCTCCCTCCCCTCCTGAGCACCTTCTTGCTATAGTGATGGGGCAGGGCTCTGAGCAGTGACGCTCAGCAGGAGGCTGGTAAATGCACCCTTAACCAGAACAACAGGACTCATTATTCCAAAGGAAAGACTGAAAGAAGGAGACACATTTCCTCAGGTCTGTTATTTGGTCCACTCAGGAGCGCAGGTCATCATGAGTGCTCCTGGCGCCCAGGAACGGCAAGTTTCCACATCTCTAAGGCAACAGGATACCACTACTCAGAGAAGGAAGCAAAGGTGGGAGTCGCCTGTCAGTTCCTCAGATGCACCACCGCCCTTCATTCCTTCTTCAGTCACTTACCAAGCACCATCGGTACGGCAACACGCAAGCAGGTAGAGACAGACAGGTGGCTTACTGCCAGGAGGCGACATTTTACCTGCCAAGCACCCGTCTCAAGGTGTCCCACACCCTCAGAGTCCCACTGACATTAAGTTTCTGAAGGTTAAAACTTTAGGTTTTGTACTACCCTTTCCTGTTTCCCTCTTAAAAATGGACAAGAAACACAAAAAAGAAGGCCACTTGGTGGAATTCGAGGGGATGTGTCCAATGCTGAGAAAATGGAGAAATCGGAGTGCCTGGCAAGAAGCCTGGGGACCCCAGGACCACCCACCTTCCTCAGCTGCATGCTGCTTCTGCTCATCTCGGATGACAAGCTGGTCCCGGTCAGGGTACTGAGAATCCTCAGGCCTGGCCAACAGGGCAGCTGGTCCTTGTGTCATGGGAGGAGGTTTCCCAGCTCCTCCAAGGGTGCCATCCATGGGGACCTGTTCTTGGACTGATGCCTTCGGTGGTCCCAGACCATGCTCCTCACTGACGACCTGAATCTCGTTGGTTTCCTCTGTGCATAGAATATAGATATGATTGCAAGAGCATTCTTGGTTTTTGTTGTTTTGAGACAGGGTTTCTCTGGGTAGCCCTGGCAGTCTAAGAACTTTGTACACTAGGCTGGCCTTGAACTCAAAGATCTCCTGTCGCTGAGAGCCTTTAGAGTACTAGGATCAAAGGCATGTGCCACCACACCTGTGACTGGGTGTGGAGCACACACCTATCATCCTGTCACTCCAGAGGTAGAGACAGGAAGATGAAGAGATCAAAAGCCAGCTTTGGCTACATTAGTGGTTCTCAACCAGACCCTTTGGCAAACCTCTATCTCAAAACTACTTATGATTTATAACAGTAACAAAATTACAGTTATGAAAATATTTTATGGTTGGGGGTCATCACAACATGAACCATATTAAAAGGTCGCAGCATTAGGAATGTTGGGCTACGTAGTAAGTTCGAGGCCAGCCTAGGATACTCCGCCTCAGACCAAACAGAAGGAAAAAATGGTAACATTAACTACAAAGAATGCATGCAGCACACTTGTAATCCCAGGACTTGGGAGAGGAAGGCAGCAAAGTCAATTTGAGGTGTTGGCTACATGCTGAGTTTTAGGCTAGCCTGGGCTACACAAGAACTTATCTCAAAAAACCAAAACAAAAGCAAAAGACAAAACAAAGAAGTTAATTCCTCGTGTTGCCCGAAGAATGGCTTACTGGGTGAGCTGCACACTTCGGAGTGGGAGCCTGGTCTCTGACCTCCGCCCCCACCACAGGCTTCCGTGCTACAGCTCATCTGCAGATGAGGAAACAGAAAAGTTCGAGGCATGGTGGTACACACCTTCAATCCCAGCACTCAGCAGAGGCCCTGGGATCTCTGTGAGTTCGAGGCCAGCCTGGTGAACATAGCAAGTTCCAGGACAGCCAGATCTATATAAATAGAGATCTCCCTCAAAAAAAAAAAAAAAAAAAACCAAGAAACAAACAAAAACCAGAAAATAACATGGATTCAGGTGCCCTGACACTCTGAGGGCAGAGCGCTAGGCTCTCAGGGTCATTTGTGTAGGAGAAGCCACGGGAGCCCAGGCACAGCAGCCACCCAGGCTAGTCTCCGCCCTCAACTCCCACATCCTCCCGTCCCCTGAGTTAAAGTGCCGTCTGTACCTGTACTCAGAGAGCTGCCAAGGACAGAGTGTCAGTACGACAGAGTGGAAGGAAGGCTGTGTCCCTACCCAGGACCCTAGAGAAAGCACCACCAGCCAGCCACACTGCCTGTTCTCTGCTGCCTCGGGCCACACTCTGCCCTCTCTGTCTACCACCCACCCAAACCATACACTGCTGCTTGGATATGGAAGACATAAACCAATGGCTGCCTCCACTTACCATTCTGCTGGTGTGGTTTCAAACCCCGCACCTCTGAGCTGGGGGCTGGTGTCTGGGACTTGTTTCTGGGCACAGCCTCTTTCTCTTGGGGCACCTGTTCCTGTGGTGGGACTACTTGTGGAAGCTTGGGCTGAGTCTTGAGGGTCTGGAATTGAAATAAACACAGGACTACAAGAGTAGATTGTGGGACCCTCACTGCATCCACCAGCAAGTAAGAACCCCTAAACACACACACCACCACCTACCCTGTCGCGTGGCATAGATCAGTAGATATGGTTAAGTCCAGGTTCTCCAGAAAACACACTCAAGGTAGAAAATAAGGGAAAATGTAACCATTCCAATAAACCAAGTTACTGATCAACTATCTACAGCACTCAACCTGGCACTTAGGCCACGCCCACCCTGCCAGGGCACGTGGACCTACCATGACTGACATGCCCACACAGTCTGCCTGGCATGACTGACATCACACATGGTCCCCCATCATATGACATGGAACTTGAGAGAGTCACAAACACATGGAAATTAACACTCCCAGATGACCAAAAAGATGCCCAGTCCTCTGGTCACTCAGCAGCTAACTGAGGTGAAGGAAGGGGACTGTGCAACTTCAGCACCTTTCTGCCATCTGTCCCACTTGATGGGGACACGGAGAAGCAGGACATAATCCAAAACACAGGCTTAATACCTACGTCTAGCACTAAAGAGTGTATGTCTCCCCTCCGTCACATCTTACAGTGGGTGGTAGACAGCCTATTTAAAACAGGCCAATTTACCCAGAATATCCTGTCCCATAGCCAAGTACAAAATTAGAAGGCATCCTGTGAGGCAAAAAGCAATCTGGAGACAAGAGAGGAAACATCAGAACCAGCCACAGAGTGATACCTGACTTAGCAGGCCATGGATCTAGAGCCCCAGTGGGTTACGTAGACAATGAGGTAGAGATAGAAACTTTAAGGAAACAAAAAGGAAAAACTGAGACCAAAACGCTGTACATGAATGAAGTTTTCAGTGGGCTCATGTGGGGTCTAGCTATGGTTTTACCAAGTTTGGAGGTAAAATAAAAACCTATGAAAGTGAAAAGCAGTGAGAACAAAGTCTGAAAACAATGAAACAACTACAGATAAGATCCCTCCTACTCAGGGTAGGATGGCGGAGACAACTTCTGGATGCCACACATATGCAATGATCAGACCTGGAAAAGACAAACATCTAGTAATCAAGACTTAAGAATTCCTCCAAATTCAGGTCAAACACCAAACCATAGATTGAGGAAGTTCGGGGAACACCAAACAGGATAAATACTAAGAAAGTAAGTCATTTCAAACTACAGGGATATTAAAATTCTGAGAAGCCAAGAAAAAACATCCACCTCACAGGGGACACTCACCAAGACAGACCACGTTCTAGGCTAAAACTACATCTGTGGCTATGTATTGTGTCCCCCAATAAAATTTACCTGAGGATCAGAGGAAAAAGCCAGCCGTTACATTAACATAGAAGTCAGGCAATGGTAGCACATGCCTTTAATCCTATCACTTGGGAGGCAGGGATCTGTCTGGATCTTTGTGAGTTCAAGGCCACACTGGGAACAGAGCCAGGCATAGTAATACACGCTTTTAATCCCAGCACTAACCATAGAGGTCTGGAGGTCTGTATGGACAGGAAGTGACAGAGCTGGGCAGGAAGAAGAAGTGATGTAGATGGGCTGAGAGAGCAAATGAGAGAACAGAACAGAAAGGCACATAGGTGTGGGTAGACAGGAAGTAGCTCTCTTTGGAGGCTGAGGAGTTGGTGAGGTGAGGTTAGCTGTGGCTCTTCCTGTTTCTCTGATCTCTCTCAGGCTTTAACCCAAATTTCTGGCTCTGAGTTTTTTATTAGTAAGACCATTTAGCAATTCATCTACATATATCGTAGTAAATTTATACTAGATACCACGTCATGGCTACTCTTCTATTACAGAAGAATCAAACAAGGAATCAGGAGTAGAAAGATCTCTAAATGGGTGGAGATTAAGGCACATGCTTTTAAATAATGCTCAGACTAAAGTAAAAGTCTTAAATTTAAAAATATTTTGGTCACACCTTTAATCTCCAAACTTTGGGAAGCAGAGGTAGGTGAATCTCTGTAAGTCAGAGGCCAGCCTAGATTACATAGTGAGTTCCAGGACAGCCAAGGCTATACAGTGAGACCCCGTCTCAAACAAAAACAAAAACAAACAAAATAAATAAATAAATATAGATATTTTGTTTTAAATGCAAACAGTTTGCTGGAATTTATAGGATGCAATAAAAGCAATTTTTTTAAAGATATTTTGTAGCATTGGATGCATACATGAGAAGGGAAGATCTATATCCAAGAATCAAGATTGTACCATAAGAAGCCATGAAACAAATTAGCAAATTAAATCCAAATTAGAAGAAAAGATACATGAATTAGCTCATAAATTAATTAAAATGAAAAAAATCAACAAAAATCAGTAAGAACGAACACTCATCCTGTGAAAAGATAATGCTCTGAGACCAGAACACATGAGAGAATATTACTGTGGGCCCTACCACTGGCCTGGCTGACCCTGGCCACAGTACTTCACATCTTGACCTCAACGTCCTCAAACAGCCAAACAGCATCGGCTTCTTCCACACAGAGCTGGAATGTTAAAGACGAGGGCTTCGAGCTTGGGGACCAGCCTACACCATTGGTCTGGGTATCCTGGCACCAGGCTTTGCTCCATTGTACCACAGAGAACCACACCCATGGGGAGAACAGAGACACAGGCCAGCAGAACTAACGCTGAGCAGAGGAGGTGTACCTCCTGGACACCCAGGCCAGAACAGACCCAAATTACCTGCTGAGGCTGGTCGTTTCTTTCACCCACACCTCTGGAAACTGCTGCTTCATTTCTCCTCCTGGTGACTTCTTCTATTCGTTCCTCACACTGTTCCTTCACCTCTTTCATCTGGTTAATACACTGGCTCCTAGTGAAGGCAAATGGAAGGATGTGTGGATGTCCCGAGTGCTCCCTGCTGGACCCCACACCCACAGTCCAGGCAGCAGGAGACAGAACAGCCCTTTCCGACTCCAGACACGATCTGAAACGGGAACTTGCAAGTGTTAGATGACAGGGAAGGAATTGCAGGTAACCACACTCCAGATTTGTCACATTGCTTTAAACACACTGCGTGCACGCACACACACACACACACACACACACACACACACACACACACTTAAAAAAAACACTGACGACTGGTACAAGTGCCTAAAACCCTGTGATTTCCTGGTGCTGGGAACATCTGCATCTGGAGCTCTGTGGGCCAGACTTGTGGTTATGTTGATGAGATGATTCATGGGGAGGAGGTGCTGGGCATTTCAGGATAGGGGTTAAAATATTCAGCTACACCTCACACTAGGAAGTGAAGGGGACTGGAGGGTTCAGCCATGTGGACAAATGATGTCATCATTCATGCCTACATAACAAACCCAGCTACCACCTCTAGACCTCGAGGTTTCATAGCTTCTGGGCTGGTAACGATACAGATGCACCAGAAGGGTTGGGCCCTGACTCCATGGGAGACATAAGCCCCGAAAATTCCCAGCCCTTGTCTTGTAACTACCATTTGTGGCTGTTCACCTGTCACACCCTTTGCGATGAAACCCCAGTAGTGAGTAAAGCTGTCCTCAGCTCTGAGAGCTGTTCTGGCAAAGTATCAAGGAGAATAGCAGGTATCCCTGAGCTGGTAAACCATCCCGTGGGTGGCTGGGGGATACCAGTTCTTGTGACTGGCCTGTGGAGCAGCCTTAGAGCTTGAGTTCTTCAGCCCATGGGGTGTGGATCGACTCAGCTGGAGGACATCTAGCTCTGAGATGCCCTGGAGGCCGAGCCTTCCCCCAGGAATTGAAGAGGATGTCACAAGGGCAGAGCAGAGCTGAAACCACTTGCTTCGCAAATGGGGAAGCTAAGAGATGTTCCGTGGCCTGGGGTAGTCAGAGCTAAGAGACAGTCAAGTCCCCAGAAGACTGCAATGCTCTTTCTGTGTGGCCTCTCCTGAGTTGGAAGCATTTAGGAGCCTAAGTCCTCAGCTTGGAGCATATCCTTTGGCAGTTCAAAGCATCATTGAATCACAACAGGCCATACACAGAAGGGAACTGGGCGATAACAGGAACCTCAGACAGATGAGAAATAAACAAAAACGTCACTGAAGAGCTTCCCACAGTCAGTCAAGCCACAGGCGGTAGACAAGCGAAAAGGGGCTGTAACGGTGACTAAAGAAGCTTAGCTGACTGAGGAATGAACAGGCAGGCCACTCCTGAACTTTTACACCTGCAAAGGAGAACCAGCTGCTCCCGCCTGGACTGTACTGAAAGAAGCAGAAAGGGCCTCCCTCCAGCTCTCAGCCATGCAAAAACCTTCCACACCTCCACAGTTCAGCTCAAAAGCAGCAGGGAAGGAGCAGACCCCTCAGTGTGAAGCTCAGACCCTGACACACAATGTAGCCTGGGTCAGTGTCACTTCTGGGAGGCCCAGGCTGGCTCTTTCATACATGTGCATTGTGGAATGATCTTTTTCTACACTGTGAAGATTGGTTTAATAAAAAGCTGAAGGCCAATAGCTAGGCAAGATTTGTGGGGGGCAAAGTCAATGCTGGGAAGAAGGGCGGAGATACAGAGTCACCTGCCAGGTATAAAGGAAGTAGGAAAGCATCATAGTAGAGGTAATAAGGCCACGAAGCTGAAAGCAAATTAATAGAAATGGGTTAATTTAAGTTATTAGAGCTAGCTAAAAACAAGCCTAAGCTATCGGCCAAGCTTTGTAATTAATAAGAAGTCTGCGTACTGTAAGTTGGGAGCTGGCAGGTGCGACAGAGAAAGTCTGCCTACACGTGTACACTAAGCGGACACTCGGGATTGACTACAGAGGCACACAACTCTAGGCCACTAATGGCGGGGCTGGGGAGCTGAAGTGGACCTGTAAGCTTCACTTGCCCAAGGACAGATAATTTCCTGGAATGTTGAGGGTGGCTGTTCACTTAAAATAACAAGTCACATGTTTTTACTTCAGTAAACAAGGTTGGTTGCCCCAATGCACAGGATGTGTTGCTCATATGTAGGCCAAGAGGTACATCAGGATGTATGTTTGCCCCTGATTGAACAAAGGTGGATTTTGCCTTCATGAGCACCTGACTAACCTATTTCAGTGACATTCTCTGAGAATCCCAGGTGTGGACCTGGCCAATGTCCATCATCCTAGCCAGTATTTAATAAAGCTTGCTTTAACTAGACAACTGTGGATTTGGTCAGGACCTCTCAATTCCTTAATGTACAATTTTGTACACATTATAAATTTGCTAACAAGGTATTCACATCTTTTCTCAGATTCTCAAACACACAGATCTCTAATTCAAAGAAACTTAAGGACAGCTATCTCTTTCTAGCTTCCAACAGTCTCTAGTCATTACTTCCGGGAACCTCCTGCATCTGCAGCAGGGGTCCTAAAGCACAGCCAGCGAGACAGACACAGTCAGCCAGCGAGACCTTCCGTCAAGGCTGCTCGCCTCTTAGAAATGTGTGTCTCCAGGCACACACACCCCAGGGCAGCACCACACACAGCCTGCGCTAGGACCGATGCTTCTCCCTTTGGCCCATAGCTGGCTTCCGAAAGGTTGAAAACGTGGGTCAGCACTTACCAAGCAAGGCCACTGATTTGGAGGAAATAATGGCTTCAGGGAGCTTTTGAAGGCTGGTAAGTCTAAGGCATTTCACACTTGTCTGTGTGTGATGTTTTGATTTCACTAGCTCAGTTTCCAGGCTTACTGTGAATGTGTGGAACCAGGTACAGCTTCATTGTGGGAGCTGTTTCGGGCATCGGGGACATTTGGCAGCGTCTTGGTCTCTACTCAATGGATTCCAGTAACACTCCCCTTCAGTCAGAGCAAAACATCTCTACTGCCCAGGCTCTGAAGGAACAGGCATGTGGCAGCACAGTTTCACAGTCCAACCACGTCTCCTTGTGCTGAGTGTCTGCTCCTGTCCTCTGCAGTTATGCACTCACAACAATGTAACAGTCATGTGATACATAAGGATGTTTTGGCCATAAAAAATACATAGGACAAGTGAGATTGTAGCCATCTCGATGCAAGGCCACCCAGTTTCACAGAGCCAATGCCTACTGATGATGCAGTGCCCAGCCTCTACCCCGCCTACTGATGCAGTGCCCAGCCTCTACCCCGCCTACTGATGCAGTGCCCAGC